CCACACTTGTAACCTGGCACGATCTCGGTATGCTTTCGATACCACGAGATGGCCAACGAGTACATCTCGACTACAACCATCAACTGCCTTCTGATATTTGGCTTACGAGGGATCTTATCGATTAAATGGGACGTAGTCCTCCTGTAGTGGTGATCATAGTCAACCGTGACTCGACACCATAATACACACTCTTGGTGGGTAGCTATGTGGTGATAGCTAACAAGAAATTGTTTTGTAATTAATTTTTGTTATTATTCTTATTTTCTATAATTTCGTATGATTTCGATAATTGCAATTACTAACTGCAAAGTTGTGCTAAAAGTGTGACTTTGATCCTCCGTTGTCGTTTTGTACTCTTATGACATGAACATCGGTTGTCGTTCACGAATGCACTGCTGCATACACTTCTCATTCTCACATATCAGTTAATAGCAACTTGTGCGAGACTACAATTTATGAACGAACCAGTCAGATTTAGGATTGAAGGTCTTGAATATCAGCGCGAAATTCATTCATCCTTTTGGCTAAATAACGTTTTGGAATTTTAGCTGATTTCAGTTCGTGACGAAAACACTAAATCTAGTCCCTAACCCTAACCATCAACTGTAAATCACAATTCTAATTCTTCAGGATTAAAATAATGTCGTGGATAAAGTAAATAATGCATGCGAGTTGCAAACGTGAGCTTAGCAACCACATATAAGGAGACCATACCAGGAAATTATTAGATGAAAGTAGTCTAGGTAGATCAATACTAAATGCCTTGCTGAATCCTTAAGAATATATTGGATTTTTTTCCAAAAGACTTAAATACAGTTGCCTGGATCACTTCAGGTGGTCGATAATCAAATGATCAACCGCCTTATGTAATGAGAGGTACGGTTTAGATAATTATTTAGAGCGTCAGACATCACTAATTTTTTGAATCCGCTAAAATAGGGTCTGTGACTGCACAGTTAGCGGGATATAGCCATCAGGTACGAGTAAGTATAAATTTCTAAATGCAGATTGTAATGATACATTTAGTTTGTGCTTGTTAATTTCATAATTAGTGAGGCCCTCAAGTAAGTTCTTACTTGACACACTCGGGGTACTTTACTACCGATTTTCTCTAACCAATATAGAGTGTTTCATAGACGAGTTTCCCTCGACTTTAGGCCATCAAGACTTTAAAATATTCAGAATCCTCTGTGGCATGTGCACAAAATGTCATTAAAAAAGACGTCACTGTCACGCGGTGTTACGTTGACGGGGGTAAAGCTCACTCAAAAAGATTTCTCATAAACAAGGACTTGTAAGTGAATAAGACCGCTATCGAACATTTGCAACGGGACTATTTTAATTCAAAATTCAGAGTTTGAAAGCATGATGTTCCGCCTATCAAATAAACTCCTTAAGACCCTTCTCGGACGTTTGCAATAATATGTATAAAAATCCCTCTATACAAATGCTTTAATAATGTGAATGCTTGCTCTGACTTGAAATGTGAAGTTATTTCTCTAGGTCATCTAATCTGAGAATCCTACAGATCTTTCGATTCTAGGTGAGACGGGTCCAACTTTCTTTATTTGTTTTTTTACTATTCAACTAAATTTCCACGATTGTCACGAACTACATATACGTTGTCTTACTTGATACTTTGGTTATGATAGCTGTCATACTGATTCATTCCTCTTTTAAAGAGTGTATTTTTTCAAATGACTCGAATTGTGTATTTTTCGATTGTGAGGCGAAGCACACTATCAGAACTTGAAACGCTCATTATTGTGACAAGTTCTCATTTTGCTCATATTCTTTTACTTGATTTATGACGCTAACCACGCATAAAAGAAAGTCAAACCTGAAACTGGTTGACGTTAATGGATCCGAATTAGACGATAACTTCCGTTTCACAAGGCAAATGCTTTTTGACTCCTTTGTGTGCCATTATTCAGATCCAAATCAGGTCAACCATACTGATAGTGACACTAGTTGTGATTTGATGACAAACGTGGTATACGAGATGAACCTCATGTAGAACTAGAGTGGACGATTGTTTTTTTATCGAAAATAGTCATTTGAACGGTTAAAGAGCGGAGCATATGAATGCTTGAGTCATTTAAAAAGGAGGATTAATGAATACAAGAAAGGCCATTTGTCACTGATTGTGATAGGTCTAGAACTCCCTAGGGTAAAAGTGAGTTACGTTGATGAATAGACAACAGGGTAATGTAATAGTTGTGACAAATTGAGACGTGCGTATTGCCGAGGGTGGTCGATTATAATCAGCGTTTGCCGTATGTACTACACTATTGCAGAGATGAGGAGAAAGCAACTAACAAGGGGTGTGTTGCGATGAGATATTTGCTGGGTATAGCGAAGCCAGATAAATTTTGAAACTGGTATTTAGATAGTCACATGTAATTGCTTGAGAAACACTAGTGAGCTTATTTAATGGTGTGGACTCTGACTATAGTGCTAATGAAGAGCTAGCAAATTTGGGTGTAAGGATGGAAATCGCCTTATTTATTTTGAATAAATTGATAGTTCTGTGGTTCGAAAATTCCTGGTGACCTTAGAATGAACCGTTAAGTTGGTGCCACGGTCGTTGCAAGTACATTGGGCAGACTTACTTAATGAACTGAAGGTAAGCGACAGAGATTCGACCCTTCTGCGCTCACTAGGTCTATATCGTCTCGTCTCTAGTGCAAGGTTTCAACATCTGAGAACCCGTTATGAAAGGAAATATAGAACGAAGAGGAACTGCCATTTGCAATCTTGGCATGGGTAATCTGACATTATAAAAAAGGTGCTATATATGCTCTAACGATCACACCATTTATCAATGCTCACATTTTTGACGCTGACAGTGAGAGACTGGTGGTCGGAAGTGAAAGTCAAATGTACTTGCATGGCCAGTCTTGCACAATGACATAGAGCGAATGAATCCGGGTTAAAAACGCGTTGTTAAAGACTGCTCACGGACACATCATTATCTGTTGCGTAGAAAACCATAGATCAACAGAATGAAGGTCAAACCAATCATGAATAGTTATTGAGGATTTGTTGAGTTTCCATGACACCATTTGTACTTGGGATGAAAATCGAGATGTGGAAGTCGTATCCTATGCTTTCTTGAACACTGATAATTTTGGACTAATTAAAATTGTTCAGGTTAAAGAAAGATGAAGTATCGGTAGTAATCGAGATGGTAGAAAATACCACTGTAAGTAACTCGCTCTCCTTGTGACTGATATGGACTCGCTGATCTTTGTGAAACAATCACTAATAGACAAATAAATGGAAACAGTTATGACAGGGCTTGGAATTCGACGTGAAGATAATTTACCCATTCTGGATAAATTGGATTTTGACACTGTCTGATGTCAGTCCACAACAGAAGTCATAGATCTAATTCCTAAGCCTAACTCATAACTTTTAATCCTAATTCCGATTTCTCACAGCATTATATAATCCCCATTATATCTTAGTAAGTAAGTTAGTTTTATCGAGGTTGCTTTGGCGTCCATCAAAGTTCGTTAGTAAGTTAAAGTGTCAGCTGAACCTCCTACCAACACCGGAAGACATTCGGCTTCCACTGTCATATTTGAGTATCATCTTTCTTAAAAGTCATAAAATGCCGTAATACGATCATAATGGCCAAGCATGACATTGATCGCCACCCAGTGATCAATCAATTGTGATTACATCTCAGTCCTACAGGAGGTTAGTCACGGCTCGGATAGCTCAGTGGTAACGTCTCTGACTGTGAAGCTGGGTGACACGAGATCGAATCCGCCAGGGAGCACCAGTTCCCTCAAGATTACAGGTACACCTTGCTGACGAGTGCCAAGTAGCACGAAACCCGGGTCCAGGGTTTCCTGTTGACTACCTCCGACTACCATCTAAACCATTCTTTTCCTTCAGAACAAACGCCTTTTGTATTTTTTCACTGAATTCTTTTGCGTTTCCCCTTTAGTCCATTGAGTAATATGGAAAGTACTTATGCTATAGCAACAAAGACGGCCGTAGAAGTTCATAATTCAGGGGTAAATAATGAGTCGGACACCACAGTTTGAAACAATGGAATTATAACAGGGCTCGCGATGACACCAGGAAAAGAATCTCAGATTATTATGTACCACACGGATGACCTGACTCAAACACCAAACTGAGTTTCCAACTAAGCAAAAGGATCACATTCATGCCTATGTTCTTACTCCTAGTAATATCAGTAAGCAAATAACAAATAGAAAACGGAATCCTAATCTGTTTGTTGCACAACTTTTTGGGAGGAAACAACGCAAAAAAAGAAAATTGCGTCTCATGCTCATCGAATGTTGAAACCAGCTACGCAGTGCTGGTATGTAGTTTCTGTAGATTCTGGTTTCACTGTAGCTATGGTCCTGTAGTAGCTATGCAGAAGTATGGGTTCACATTAGATCATTTCTGACCGTGATTCCGATACGTATACTATTGTACTAATTCTCAACAGTTTGTCCAACTTGTCTAGCCCAAGTACAAACAAACAAGCGACCATGGAAGTCACAATTCAAACGCATTTATTTATGCAATCGTAGGCTGTCGCAGATTTATCAATCTATGTTAACGGCAAGGAGCAGTGTGTGGATGTCAAAAAGGTAAATTGAAGTAGTATAGCCTCCAAAAACTGGAAGTCGTGTTTAAAGACTTCAAGTAATAAGAAACGAGCGCAGACAAATCAATAGATTTGTCCAAACTCTCCTCAATGATATCATATATTTTGCTTCAAAAATGTGGGTTGGGGCAACAAGAACGTTTTAAATCCATTCCTTGACCGTTATATTTATTAACTTTTTGTTACTCAAGATCTAAAACTAAAATAAAATGAGTTACATTCACATATCCAACAATAAAATTCAGTTTCTTAGAAACTGAGCGTCACAGAAAACTTAATTCTTTACTTCATTCAATTAGTGTTCGAAATTTTATTTTTGTTTTACCGTATAACTAAACATATCTATGTTATTGTAAATATACGGATGAATGACCTGTCCCTGCGCACACGGGGTTACTTTAAGTACTTAACGAACTGTTCGGCAAATAAGGTATCGTTTACCTGTAAATGTTTAAAATTCTTTCGTGTAATCATATAGTTGTCGAATTTCCCTCAACAATAACATAATGCATAAATTAGTTTAGTAATTGTTTATGACTATAGGTACTTTGTAGTGATTTGTTTTCATGTAAGTTCATATTGAGCAGTTAATTTACGTGGGATCGTTTAAAAATGACATTCTGTAGATTTATTTTCCTACTTTTTATCAGCTCGTTTAGTGGCTAGCAGAAATAGAGGATGACGAAAATGCGCAACATATCCACTTCTGGAAAGTAAAATTAAACACGTGCAGAGACATGAGATATATGATAAAAACATGTAAAATGACATGATTAGCTTTAGTTACAGTGGATTACAAAAAAAGTTCAGTTTTATGCTCAGGAAACGCAGTAACTGCCGAGTAGGTAAAAGACTGTAGCAGTTGAATTTCCTCTTGATTACGCGTTAGTTAGTGGTAGAGTGGAAACTACCTTTGGTCTAAAATTTTTATTGATTGATTGGACTGAAACGTTTAATTGGACAGTTACATTTAGTTGGAAGCTTACTAAGTTGAGAATCTATGCACATCTTATCGGTAAATTAAGAGCGACTTTCGGCCAACATATCGAATTACTAATTGTACAGTAAACACTAATCATTGGACTGTGTCAAAACTATGAAGGGGATATGACAATCCACTACCTCTATTGGTTTATAAAAAAACTGAATGTCCGTTTGCTTTGGTATACAGAAAGCAAAGAGATGACTGATTACAGGTATATTAATACACAAAGATGATTTTTATGAATTACTTTTTCAGAAAATGTCTGTGTGCGTGCCAAGTATTTAGCTTATAAGCGTTATAGCGGATAGTATTTGCGACTAACTGTCTCAGATATTACTCTGTAAATTGTCTTACTTTTAACATTTGTTTGCTTATTGTTATGGACTCGTTTTTTATTGTTCGGATGAAACATACAATTTTTCCGGTACAAATCCCATATATCTACAAAGTTTTCCAAACTGTGCGCGGGAAATAGTCATATTTAGCTTCAGCTGATAAGAACAAAAGGCCAAGGAATTTGTGTCGATTTTGGTGAGAGTCTCTGCAATAGACTCATTTTCCTTTTATGCATTTTTATGGAAGGGATTATTGGAGCTCTCGGTCTCGTCCTTGCTTGAAAAACGTCTTGCATCTAACATATATTTCCGGATTTATAAATAATACCTGCTCGTCTACATATATTGGTCATTTCAAAGACGAAGCCTTGAGGTATTTGAGATCTAACGTTTTGATGAAATATTTCAAAATTCATCACTAAATCGCTTAAAATATAATTATACCGATGAAATTAGCCTAGTATTAGTCTAGAGGTTATGAATTTCTGCAATACATTTTGCTTTAATTTTGTAAGCCTGTCCCAAATCTTCAAATTTCTTGGCAATATTTCTTGTCCAGTAACAAGTTGTGCACCGTATAACAATTATCGACTATTGCTTTGCGTGCCTGAAGGACTTCTTTGCAGTCTTTGGACGAGGATTTATATATACTGTCCCTATTTGGCTAATTGGACTGTTAATTTACTTTGCTCCTTGGAATTGTGACTGTCATATGAGACTTGAGGTTTTGTTTATTTCTAAGGTATCACGTTTAGGTGTGTCTTCGCAGTCGCTTCTCGTTTTATAAGTTTTGGAACAGTTGACAAACAGACATTTTTATTCGTTCAGAATTGCAATTATTGTTTGATTTAAGGCGTAATCGCTACCGAAAAGCTTGTTCAATTTTTTTGTGGCTGCAAACATCCTGTAGAAACTTTCGTACACTGATTAGTACATTTGATTTTCTCAATTATCTTTGATATGAATTTATTATATCGGCTAAGTTGTATTTCGGACGGGTGTTCCAACAAGATCAGAAGAATTTGATCGGCACGTCTAGTTGTAACTCCATCAGTCAGCTTTTAGTATGTGCTTCATCGATATTATTTAAATTGTTTATTCGACACTAAATAATTTCCTTCATTTCTATCATCCGACCTTCGGCTTACAACACGTCACATATCCATTCATTGTGCCTTACCTTAATCGTTAAGTTCTACAATTGTGGCTCTTCTGTTGAGGTTCGCCCCATATCGTTTATACCGAGGATCATTATTATTGCGGTATTTAATTATATTCCTAACTCTTTTTGAGTATTTTTTATCAGCACTATGTTTTTCATTTAATGCGTCAGAACGGAAAATATTACTGATTCTATCAACTTGATTTCGACACTGGGCAGATTTTAGAGGTAGAAAGTAGTGCATTCGTTATGTTAGCTTGGACCGAGCCATCACATAAACCACCATGTCTGATTATGGAACCAAAGTATTTGAATGGGTTCACTTCAGCATCTCGACTATCGATCAATATCGTTTTGCTTTCGTTTTTTGTTAGTATTATTTTAATTTCTTGAGCGGATATGTTCATACCAATATTTTCCTAAACACGAACCCTGTCTTCTGATAATACTTTCTTGATTAAGCTCGACAACTGTTTTAGTTAAAAGATTTTTATAGTAATATTTTAGAAACACATCACTGAGTTTGTATTTTGTCTCATGTCTCATAAAAGAAGTGTTTCTTGATCATGTGTTGGCTTTGATTACCCCGAAGGTTTTTAAAAATTTCACACTGTGACTGTGTTAGCTTATGCAATGTCTGTAATGGTTTTGTCGAAGATAAAATGCAACCAAAGTTGAAAACAGGTTTATACTTCTTGGCTACATCGAAAATATGTCGTTGCCTCTGTCGTCAAACTATGTTTGTCTCAACAGCATGTATGACAAATCTATTTGCACAATTTTGTGGGCTGTAATTGTGAAATTTGTACAAATATCGTGCATCACTATTTACGAATCACTGAAAACTACTCTCGATATTTTCAGTTACGTTTTCAGTCAAAGGTTAATGGTTTTATGATAAGGTATCAGTTGAAACACATCTGCAGAACAAGGAACAAGGTGTTGCTGTAAAAGGTCATGAGGTCAAAAATATGCAACTTAGCGAAACGCCTAAACTTGCAGAGTTTAAGAGATAGCTGTTAAAGAGGAAAAGTTACAAGAATTTTAGCACTTTAACTGGAAGGTTAATTAAAGTAAACAAAACAGGCCACTGTTGTGCAACAGAACAACGTATGTCGATTTGTTAGACAAAAGCAGGAGAAAACATATTTGAAAACATTTGATGGTGTATGGAGTGATTAAACGCAAACATTACATGTGTTTTTATATTGCTTGTAGTGGTTAATCATGACTTTCTAAGTTGGCTAAAACTAGTGCTATAAGATTTTACCAGATGTGATTCAGAAAGGATAACCATAGCGGAGTAATTTATTATCTATTTTATGAATAGTATGATGTACTTATCGACTATGTTGGTTGTGTCATTGGTTAAATAACAATTGAATACTCGTTATTCTCATTTTCCGTGTTCCTCAGTAATTGTTTTACTGTCGGTTCATCCTTTAATATGCCGTTAAAAGTTTTGTTTATATTGTCAGTTATTCTTACAGTATATGGCCAAGCCAGAATATTAACTGTTCTTACTTGCCAGTGAGATCGAGCCATAAGATAAGAGAACAGTGGTACTAATCTAGTCCAAGTATTGATTAGCTCTCTTAGACAGTATCAAATGCCAATTATCTTCGACTAAACAATGGCTCGCTAAATGTAAGATAATGGCCGAGAGTAACACTACATGAATATTGGTCTATGATGCAGTTTCTTACTCTCACCCATCCGATAGCTGGAGTAGAAAACAACTTAACAAGCACATAACGCCTAATTATAAAGTTAGTAACTCATACAACAATATTTAGCAAACCTCTGGCCACATCAACAAAGTTAGGAAATTGAGATATGAGCACGATGCGTCACAAGTGGAAGAGAACTGAATGATTCGTCCGTAATAAATTGAAAATAATTTTGGAAAGGTAAAATCCACTACAACAATTTCTAAGTCAAACAAAAGCTCACGAAGAAAAAAATACAAGAATTTAGTAGTATTTAATGATTATATGACGGAAACATAAATGATAACTTCAAATGAGACCGTTTCAAAAGTTCACCTTTGATTTATATTTATCACAATATAGTAGTTTCGCTAAATGAATAGGTGCTAACAATTTTTGACGTATAGTAAACACGAGTAGCAGAATGTGACATTTGTAGTCTACAATTAAGTGAAAATAACATGACGTTCTTTCGAAAATAAAAACGCAACTTCTTAAAAGTCCTTGAATAATTGAGATCATTAGACAAGACTTACATTATTTTTTCACTTAAAAACACCAACGATTTGTAATGGTAGTGATTACGTTTAAAGCAACAAGAGTTATTTAGTGTCTTTAAGGTTTATAAACGTCGATAATTTTTTAATTTTATACCATTCATATCTATCTACCAAGTAAAAGCTTTAATGTGAAAAATGTTTACAGAAAGAATGGAACCGAGCAGTGCTTGTTTTACACAGAGACCCGAAAAATACCGTTATCATGGCTGATTTACAAGATACGGAATATGAGACTTTAGACCTACCTGATACAAAAATAATCATTCCATTAAATTCTTTCAAAGTTTGTCGAAAACATATTGTTTCTGGTCACGCATCAATATCTAATGAGAATTGTCATCCTAACCAGAAGCATTCTTTGAACACTGTTAAAAATGCTATTCCATGTAACCAAATTCATCTAAGTTCGCGATTTTTATTTGGTAAAAAGCAGTTGTGGCTGGGTTTTACATCTCTGTTTGACCAAGATATATGGTATTCGTCTTTGAAAACTTTGGTTACAAAGCACAGAAACAAGAAGAATACTTTAAATGGTCCCGATTTACTACGAGCATCTGCATTAAGTTTATCCCAAACGTCGGAGTTGGATTTACTTGCTTCAGCCCTGCCAAATATCTTAGATAATGAAATATATGAAAGTACTTCTCCTCAAGGTAAATGACATGTTTTCAATTCCCTTATATTTTACGAAGACCCGCTTAGCTTCAAAATGAGCGAGGGGCTATTTTGCAATAGCTAGTCAGGCGTCTGTTTGTTCTTTAGTTTATAACCTATTACAGGCTTTCAATTTTGAAGAGATGCACTTTATTATGGTCAAATGTGTAAAGTCACAGATAGACTTGAGCGTACTTTTAAGTGAACCATCATTTTCAATTAGCAAGACACAACCCACTGTGTTTATTGACTTAGTTTGTAAAATAGCATCCATCTGGTCACAAGCTGATTAGTTATCTGAAGATACTTAATTTAAAAAATTGTCAGCAATGTTTAAGTCGTAATGTCCTAAAACCATAGGCAAATCCTTTCCCCTGTAATGAAGATATTCTTTTTTGTTTGATGATAAATAATACAAGTTTCTGATCATATATGTTAGGTTAATAAGTGTCTTCAATATGTTTCTACAATGCAGTTTCGTTTCATTTTAGATCCCTGCATCAGTTGGTAGCAAGTTTTGGATTGAAGGTAGTTTTTTGTACAATGTTAGGTTAAATATACCCGCTTTGAGGGGATACCTTGCTCTGGCCTTCTTTAAAACTAAAAGTAATGAGCATCTTGAATAATTTTCGGCAAATTCGAAAGTTCAAAAATAATTGTAAAATGAAGTTTTATTAATGCAAGACGCAATGGCAAAAGTCATTTCCTAAAAGAGCGTATCACTTAGTTTTATAAACATTTCACTTAACAGCAGTGAACTATGTATTTCATACTTTTCTGTACTGACAAAGTAAATGAACTCATTTTCGTGTAACCTAAGAACACACATGAACCGGTGGCTTGTTTATTCAATTTTTCTAACTAGGCATAAAATGTTCTTTAAATTCCTACTACCGTTAAACAGTGATTACAATATGTGAAAACACCTTCAATGAAGTGATTACTTCAATATGACTCAATGTATAACAACGGAGTCTCTTAAAATTAAGTCAATATCCAGTAGTATATTTCTGCGAAATCATTTTAGTTGTGCTTTAAGTTCGGATAACAAGAGTTCGTGATGAAAAATATCTGTTTTCTAAATGATAATGAATGAATGATATGTAGGATTTATCTTTTTCAATATATTTCTTTGTATTATTAAAATCACTAATGGCTTTAGCGAACTGATTTTTAAGACATCAGACATTGTGATGCAATGAGTATTGTTAGATTAAAGGAATTTTAACTCGATAATTAACGTTTATAAAAATTAAGGTTTCAGATGTAAATCGTGTATTTCCACTTGTGAATATCTCTAGTGTTTAAAAGATATTTAGAATGATATTAGTGTACGAAAAGTCAATCGTTAAACACATCAGATCCAGAGGGTGGTAGGATTGATTAATGACTATAGTGAACTAAAAGGCTTAATCATAATTCATATGTGAATTATTTCTGATTATTTCTTGTTCATCTATCTGTAACACCAGATACTAAAATATGGAGTGGAACTTAGCCAATGATGAGTCTATAAAAGATGCAAAGAATTTGGATTTCATTACAATTTTAAAATGTGAAGCATAGAGCGGTTTTCTCATGGCAATAAATAATGTATTACTCAACCAGCTGATTTTGAAAATAGTGAATTCAAAAATATCCAGGAGACGTTTACAGTTAAAAACAGTAATAATATTTGATTGTTTATTATGAATTCATTTGTATTTTTATTTCATACTGGCTTTTAGATACATTTTCTGTCTACATAATTCATACAGAAAAATCAAAAGATTTAGGGTTGTCTGGTCGTTACTTACTACGTATAAAAGAAAATGCATTTGAACTACTTGATCCGGACACATATTCAATAGTAAAAGTATGGCCGGTCAAATATGCGCGCAAGTAAGTTCATAAAAATTCACGAGTACGAAAATTATGCACGTATATCATTTATTTGAAAAGTATATCACGTATGTTTCTATATGAAGAAAGTTATCATATGCTAATTTAGAATCCCTCAGCAACGTACAACTTCTGTATGTCACTTAACTTTGAATCCTTGATTTCCTACACTAGTTCTCAATCATCATTGATGATAAATAGGAAAGTGGTTTACATTACAAGTCAGCATCGATTTTCTGCCATTTCATTTTATAGAGATTTATAAAAACGTACATTTATAAGTTTGATGTTATAAGTACGAAACACTAACACGATGACAAATTTAGTTAATCCTAAATTTTGAATGAATTTCTCAACCTATGAATGATTTTCAGATACTCTGATGGCTCTAATAGACACTTGAAGTAGCTGAATTAAGTTGTGGTGATTCGAGTTAGGTACGAAACGTCCTGAATATTACGTTTCAAAGACAAGTCACACACTTCCAAGTAGTTAGATCTGTAATGAATCATTTATATGGTACTAACAACGCCAATCTGACATTCAATTTTGTCGTATTGGCGTGAATTTTAATTATTATCATCTGCCTATAGCAGTTTAGTGTTTGAAATAACTTTGGTAGGTTAACATCTCATAATCCAGAGATATTATTTCTTCCAGTATAAAGTGTCGAGTGAATTATTAAAAAGCTTCCAGATTATCTACATGAAAACTGTTTGTTAATGAAGCAATTATTTTTATTATTTTTCGTATAAGTAACTGACTGTGGATTTGGTCTTTTTTCAAATGTCAATTCAAAACTATGACTTTGAATAAAGCTAATACTATTATTGCAGAATGTTTTTATTTGTACAAAATTAAGTCCTTGTTCAGAATAAATATCTCATCAATTTTATGCATCATATCATGTATTTTATAATCCTGATCAAACGGTAAATACCGTAGATTCTTTACTTTTATCCACCGCCAAATGGTCTTCTGGTGATTGTTGTTTAGTTGCAAGAGCTTTAAATGGCGTATTATTTATCAAATATGAAAAAAATTTAACACATATAAAACTATGGTTAGTAATTTTTTCACTTGATTTTATAATTACAATTTACGCATTTATTTAAGATGCTATTGATGAATGATGTCATTAGTATCTCCACACACAGAAAACTTTTCTGTTCATGGAGAATGAAGATGGTTGATCAAATGTGAAAAGACAATCTACCTGACTCCAAAGAAGATACGTTTGCCCATTCTCGATCAAGGCTAGTTAAACCACATACACTACCATTCGGAAATGTTTTCTAGGTTTTAAAGGACAGGTTTAAAATAATAAAACAGCCAAAAACGTAAATATTTCAAAAACTACATTATGAATAACAAACAACTTAAAGTTATGCGTATTATTTAAGATAAACTCACGTGATGGATCCTCTCCAACAGCACAATGTTTAATAAAAATATATATATTTCCTTAAAAATTGGTAAACACAAACCTCTAAGTGATGGGGTTTGTAAAGTTGCGTGAGGAGTTTTCCAATTAATAAAAGACTTACTCACTTACTTACTCCTGTTACACCTCGTGATGAAGCAGAGGTTGCCCACCAGTATTCTCCATCCAACTCTGTCCTAAGTAATCTTTCAAGTTGGTTCCAGATGTCATTCATTCATTTAGTGTCTGCTTCCAATTCCCGATCCAATGTGTTCTTTGATCTGTTTCTTCCTCTTTTCAATTCAAGATTCCATGTTAGGGCTTGTCTAGTGATGCAGCTTGTTGATTTCCACATTGTACGCCCTATCCACCTCAGATGTATTTTCCTAATTTCCTCTTCAATTGGAAGTTGGTTTGTTCCCTGTCATAGCAGTTTGTTATCGACGCTGTCCGGTGGATGGATATCGAGTATCTTGCACAAAAGACTGTTTATAAATACCTGTACCTTTCCTATGATGATTGTGGTAGTTCTTCAAGTTTCAACTCCGTACAGTAGGACTGTCTTGATGTTTGTATTGAAGATTTTGACCTTGATATTGGTTGACAGTTGTTATGAGTTCCATATGTGGTTCAACTGTAGGAATGTTGTCCATGCTTTTTCAATCCTTGCATTTATGTTTGCATCAGATGTTCCTCGATGATAGTGACCAGGTACGTAAAAGTTTCCATCTCTCTCAGAGCTTCTGCATCAAGTCGATTGGGTTGGTGTTCTCTGTGTTGTATTTAAAGATATTGCTTTTCCTCTTGTGTATGTGGAGGCCTACTGCTGCAGAGGCTGCTACTATACTAGTTGTCATGACCTAAATTTGTTGATGTGTATGGGATAGAAGGTCCAGGTCATATACGAAGTAAGAAAAATAAGACTGGTGTAAATAGAGATTTATTAACTCCGAAAACACGACGACGACCCTAGTCGCAAATACACTCACCTATAAATTGATTGTACACCCATTTCGATTATTATCTAGAATAAAATGACATATATGAAAAATACCTAGAGTTATAACAAATAACATGATGTATGTCATGCTGAGCATAGTTCATATTAATTTAATAAAAGAATATCGTATGTTATACCAAATAAAATATTACACTGCGAAACAAAACCAACACAACACTGAGTAATTATCATATTGAATTAAAATGCAAATAATCCTGAACAAAAACCACAATGAGTAAAAGATTATAATTTTACCTTTTCATCTCGTCATACCACTCTCACGTTTTCGATTGACCTTCTGAATTTTTTATGGATGCAAATATGTAGTATGATCCAGTGAGACCCATGTAGCTTTGTGTATGCGTTTGTAGGGGAATATTGTGCCACTTGCAACCATTTTGTAGAATTCACATAAATTTGCAAACCTATCACCATTCTCATTCCTTTCTCTCAATCAGTCGATGTCGTCCCATGATATCTTCGTATCCAGTGTTATCCTTTCCCACTTTGAAGTTTTGGTCTCCCATGAGAATGGTCAGATCCTTTCAGTGAAAGTTAATTAACAATTATTACGTTCTTAATTCAGTGTTCCTGGTATATGTTTATCATTCTGATTAGCTGGTTACTCATCAGTGAAGTAAATTTATCTACAGTTAGTAAGGAATTGCTGAAATGAAGTAATTCCATGCTGTCATCCTTACGTTATTTTACTCGTAGCACACGAGTTCACTGTAAAAAGTAGAGGGTACACAACTGAACCTCTTACGATAATTAATTGAATCTACAAACTACTGAACATTTCATCCATTCAACTTCTCATTCAGCGGTCGGAGTTCCTCTCAGAATTAGCATATTAGAAATAAGATTTTTAACCTCCGAAGTAAAATACAAGTTGACGCGTCTTAAGTTTAACCAGACTAAATATATAAAATCCTATTAAAGGACAAATAGATTGAAATACCTTACTCGAAATCTCATAAATAAGTTGCAAGTGATGTATATATAATGTTCATGAAATGGTTCACCAAAAACTCTCTTTTTGTACCGTTAGGTACATTTAAACCAATCATTTTGCCATTCATTTATTTTCATTTTATGTTTAAGTGCAATAGTTTTGGATTAGCCTTTTCACTCATTTATATTATATTCAGGAACAGAATTTAGCTAGTTGTAGTTCAAATTTTAAAAAATGATCATTTTCATTTTATTGTCTTGAGTTTATCATTTCATTTTTCATTTTGGATAAACTGAAGTAATATTACTTCGAATAAATTTCAAAATCTAACCTCAAGTTATGTGAATTTCTTTAACTGAGAGAATAAGCCATTTACATGAACAAAGAATACATATTATCATAATAGTTTTATTTGTTTCTATATGAAGGATGAAACAGCCGTTCAGCGCTTCCAGGTTTTCCATGGTCGTCTAACTTCAACTGACTCATGATCTCAACTATTAAAATTACTATAATATCCACAAAACCCCTTTCTAGTATTAATCAACATATGCTCACTAGTGACTAGCTTCAAGAGGTATTTCCTGGAGTTCTAGTGAGAAGCAATGACCAGTGGGGTTCTACCTGTTCTGTTGTGAGTTTGTTACACTGAAGACAACTGTGGATGTGTCTCTCAATTTCGTGGATTAGTTGAAGTTAGACATTGACACCGCTGGATACCGGCTCAGTGGTCTGGTGATTAAGTGTCCGCGCGCGAGACCGATAGGTCTTGGGTTCGAATCTCGCGAGGCGGGATCGCGGATGCGCACTGCTGAGGAGTCCCACAATAGGACGAAACGACCATCTAGTGCTTACAGGTTTTCCATGGTGGCCTAACTTCTATTGACTTATGATCTCAACTACTAAAATTACTATATAAATGTTGCCAACACCTATAGTGTTTGAATTATGTTAAATCGACAGCAGTTGCTTATCACTAGAGTGTTCTTCATTTTTTTATTAACCCTAATTATGTACACCCTTCTGTTCTGCAGCTCGCCAAATAATTATCTTTAGACTTATTTATATAATTATGCTTTTTATTTTATGTGAGTCATTATTTATATGTCTACCATTTGAAAACACACGTAAAGAATAATGAAGCTTTTATTTATCGATCTGGCCCTATTATGTAACATAAATTAACTGTTTTGTACACAGATATGTAATTGGGTATGTCGACTTTAGTGTGTCACTTTCTTCATACATAATTAGAGAGTCACTTACATGTAACTGAAATATTTATACAATGTACACATACAAAATTATCTATAAATTTATTCATTCCTTCTATATTTTGCTCATGATTTTTTCTCGTAATATGTTTCATATTGAAATAACCATTGATAGAATGAAAACTATTGGTAGCAACATAATTCAAAGTAAGGTAATGTTTTATACAAATATAGATCGTATCTAATAACAGAATTAGGAATTTAAATTTTATCTTGTTTAATTCGTCATTTGGGTTTACCTCCGTCTTTGCGAAGTGTTATTTTTCAAGGGATTAAAGCTCAGTCTTTTTAAGATTTTGAGCTCTAGTGTTTGGGTTGACTAGTTATCAACATGGACTAGAATACAATATATGTAGTTGGAGAAAACCAAAATTTAGAATATATAGTTATCATTTTCGGGAGATTGCTTGATAATGCTACCTGATAAATTTGACTTTAGTACACATACTTAGTAGCAAGATGGTTTTGATGAACTAATTTTATTTTCTAATATGAAAGCAAATAAATCTAATATAAATAATATAAACATCTTCTGTCAATGTGGTAGGATGGTTTAATGAAATGTTGTTTGTAACGTATTGTTTAAAAAACTAACACGGTATCACCTTGACATTTATTTCTAGTGGCCATTTCTTTGATCCATATCTCCTATGTTTTGTCGAAAAACTGAAATCCAGGAAGACTTTGTTAAGTGCTTTAGACAACTGTTCACATGACTTACAATGTTCTCAAAATAAGAATCTCATCAATTTCTCTTGCGTAGTTTCATTCTACTCATCGAAAATTGTGGTTTGTTTGAATCTTGCACCAAGTATGGCAACGAGAACTGATAGTTTTAGAATATTGAAAGTTAAATCGTTTACTTACCACGAAACTGAGATTATCTAAATTTAACAATGGAATCACTCAGCTTCGTTATTTTATATATTTGAGGTCATGCTTTTAATCGTACTGCTTTCCAAACTAAGATTCTCTAAGATAACTATGTAAGAAAACTTGTCAAATGTCTGAAAAAATGAGAATATTTCTTAAAATATTCTTTGTTAAAGGGCCAGTTGAAATTTTTAAGATTGTATTGAAGATGCACAATTGTTCGTGGAAATCGCAGGAAATCATCTAACAATAGTACTGAAATCCGTCACATTGTATTGCTGTTTTAGAATAAATTATGTATTAATAATATTGTAACTATACAATCTTTCTCATTTTATTGTTATAAGTACTCTGAGGAGTCACTATCTGGTTAATAAAAATTCCCAGTTTCTAGGCAGAAATTCCGAAACGATTATTGTTTCACTGTAATAAATAAAATAATTGTAAAATGAGCCTTTAACAACCTCTTGTTTAATATATTTTGGATTGTTAGCTGCATGCTTTCGAACTTAATTACAAGCAGTTTAACTTTCACGTCGTATGAAAAAAGTTGTATAACACTGGTAAATAAGGAATGACATTACATTTCATAATGTGTCTCACAAAGTAGATTATTACATCCGGTTTGATCGTTGTAAAGCTATGACTTTCCGAGTACCAAACAGTACGTTTTTACCATACATCTGTTCATTCTAAAATTAATGCACCCCTGTAAAGTTGTTAGTGATGAGGAAATTTTGAAATGTAGGTTAAATTCAAGACACCTATAAGAGTTAGTCATATCTGTTTAAAAATTAGCGCACTACTATTAATGCTAAGCGACTGGGAGGTTTAGCTTTATCTTTACAGTCTTTGCACGCTTGGCAGTGTATATAAAGAGTAGATCATAGAAGATATATATATATATATGTCTTCATTATTATTCAAATCAGTGTGTCACTTGTGTTGCTCAGTTATTCGTGAAATTAACTGTTTGATTCAAAAGTTAACTTTGTAATGTATATAGAAGAAGAATATTTTAAATATATTTGATTGACCCAACCATACCAAATGCCTGTCTGTCTTCCTCCTTTGTGAGTCATTAAAAAAACTAGTTTGAGAGATTCTTCTTTCATTATTCACTTTTTTAGAACTTGAAAGTTTATTTTTACCTATACATTTTCGTGCCTTCGTTGCAAGCTTCATCACAACCATCATCTGTTAACTGTCATAAAAACAAATGTAAATGAATCCAAACAGGAATTGATGATGGCTATCAGTGTAAACTGGGACGTGTGTCCCGTCTTATTTGAGACTCATTAGCTCGATATACATGCATCCTAGAGTTCATAATTACTTCAGAATTAAAAATGTAAATGTGTATTAGAGCTCAGTTTATATTCTTCCACTTCACTTCAATCAATCTATAATATAATTTGGTACTAGAGAGTGCTTAGATTGTAAATCTATGTCAAATTAAGTTTGAACATGTAGTTTTTTTATTCCTTTTATTAGCTATGAACTTCTAGAACAGTAGTAATAGTAGATCAATGTAAAATGTTAAAATCCTGGTAACCATCAGTGTATCAAGTCTAGGATTTTTAAATACTTTTAATAGGTTCAAAGATTGAATATCGTTAAAATAGTTTTTTAAAACTCCTCATTTGTAACTGGAAAACCCATCTACACTAGCTTAAGCGTAGTTATGAAGATTTCACGTTCGTTTTCAACCTATTACATTCCCATCCTCGATATACTGCTCTAATTTTACCAGCAGAATTATTAATGCAACTTTGGTTTAATATTTATTGTGGCAGTAAACATATATGAAAATTATTACCAGTAACCAACCACTCATATTGATCCAAATATTAAAGGCATTAGTCACTAATTTCCTTGTGTTTATTCTCCACTAGAAATCATCCACACAAAGGTAACCATAAAATGCCATTTATACATTATTTACCATTTAGTGATATAGAATTGTTAAAAAAAGGAAAATTTTCATTATTAGTGCAGCTGAACTAGCTAGTCTATTGACACATATTTAAACATAATTCTAGTTAGCTATTTAAAATGTAACATAATACTTTCTATTTCGAAATACCATTTAAACAGATATTTTACTGTAATTTTATGTGCTGACCTATCCATATTGCATCTCTCTGTGACGAATTCAAAAAGTATTTATTACAAGTGTTGATATTCCTTCTATAGGCAATATGACTAATTAAAAGTAAATTCTAACAATCAAATTTGTGTTTAATATTCACAAAGTTTTAGTTTTAAATTTTACGACAGTTCAACCTTTCTTAAAGTAGAAAGTAAAACTTGTATTTGATCTTAATTTCTTATAAAAAACATTCTGAATTTATGTAGATTCGGTGTGTATACCAAACGTTTTTATTTAATAACTGGAAGTGGATGTGAAGATGGTCGCGGATTGTTCATCTTTCTAATAGAGCATGCTGATAAATTTCAATCAAGACTATTTCGTCAAATGAAACAATTAACTATGCAGTCTCAGTTATCTAGACGTGTTACCGACTCTAGCAAATGGATAATAGATCAAGAGATTAAAAAGGAATCTGGTGAATTTCACTTAAATGAAACAAATCATTGTTGGTTTTCGTCAGAGCCTAGAAAAAAGAAAAATATTCTAACGTCGCTCAACTCAGTTGATCCGTTATTGAAAACTAAACCACGTTCCAACTCTGTTAATGAATTTCTACTACAAAATATAGAATCAAATAATTTATATCAAAGGCAAAATTCTTCAAATATGTTACCAAAAGAAATCTCTGTCTCATTAGCTTATGATAGCGATGCAAAATCTTCATCATCATCATGGATATTTCCAGAGGAAAACTTCATAATAACGTCTGGTAAATGTTTTGCTGAACGTTCATGTCAAACTATATTTGAAGTAAATACAGCAGAGCAGTTAAAACATTCTAGTAATGTTAATTCACCACGAGTAACTGTAGTAAAACAACAAATACAAGAAAAAAACATGATTCATAACGATTATAGTTCTCAAGAAACATTCATTTCAGAAACACTGTGCGAACGTGAAGATGATAATGTTTTCCTAGAAAAAGAAGAGGAAGAAGATAATTTAAGCGAAGCTTCACAACCCGTTTATGCTAATGCTGAACAAATCACCAATACGATGTTCAACACAAAATATTCCAATAATCATAATCAAAAATTACTAACAAATAGTGGAAGCAATGAGGATGAAACAACAGTGACATCATGGTATGTTTAACGTATTCTGGTATAAATTTGTTTTTCATCGTTGGATTTTGGCTGATCAAAAAAACTGTTATAGCTATTGATTTCACTGTACTGTCTACTTTAGAAGTCAGCTGTCATTATTACAAAATTTTCCTGAGACTATAACCAGGCATCTTTGTTCAGGAAATTAACATCTAGTTTACGCGCATAAAGTGGAGATAAATTTTAAGAACGGAGATATAAATGATGTCACAAAGTAATTTTAGTTTCAAAAATACTCATTTAAGAAAAAAACTGAAAGTGAGATTTTATTGTATACGTTGATGAACACGCACGTCACCAAAGATCCATTGCTTTTAGAATATAAAAATACAGTCTAAAAGACTTTCAATTACAATCAGGACTATTCACCATAGAATCAATAGTTGTAATAAATGTATCAAAAAACTAGCAAAATCATTACTTTTGAAGTGAAGTCAAATTACAGATTTTGTCATAAATATTATTTATTTGAAAACATTTATATAGTAATAAATTGCTATTCTAGATTATGTAAAAATCCACACTTTGCGTGTTGTGAGTTTGTGTAGTGGTAAACTCGGTTTAACAATTGGATTGAGATTGATCGTGAAAACAACAGCTTTTTGTTTTGTTTGTTTATTATACAAGACCCATGAAAACATTCACAATCCCTCAAAAATGAATGAACACATTAGTAGAGCTGAATGACTAAACCGTTTAAATCAACAGAACTAAACAGAATTGGACTATACACTTGATTTTAGTTTTTCCATCACAAAGATTTTATTTTTTGTATATATTATAGCTGTACTGATCCAGTAATTTTTGACAAAGTATTTCAATCCTCAACATGGTATTCTTTACTTTCAAAACGAAATACCTTTTATTTTCCTGATAGTCATCTTGAGTCAGACACCCAGATATCTATATTATTGAAAGGGCTACTTACACCTTATTATGGAAAAAAATGAGTATTAACAGTATCTTCGCTACTTTTCTTTAATCCGTTGTCATGGCTTTTTCTACCTATCATTACCAATGTACAAAATGTTTTTGAACCCTATGATTTTATTCACTGTCAACTTTTTAATGGTTAGCATTTACTTGTAATATTATGTGAAATCGAATAAACTATTTTATGCAAATTAGACTAGTAATAAATTGCACGAATAAATCTTAAAACATAAAGTGAATATTGATTAGGGTATTCACAAGTGGAAAAAATCTAGTCGTATTTTTACTTTGTAATTTGAGCCTTTTGTTTGACTTCAGTAGTTAAAAGGGGGGATTGATTTATTTAGAATGGTTGATTGAAGCTTACGTTCTATCTTCATATTGCATACTTATAGAAACGTACAACTAAATCCCTATATTAACTAAATGTATTGGTTATTTATGCATTTTGTAGTTAATTATTTATTCATTCGTTTCTTTCCATTATTCTTAGTATTTAGTCACTGACGATGATTCAGTATCTAAGTTTTAGTAAATACTGGAACACAGATGACTTAGTTTTATTCACAAAATATTACTCTTAAGTTGATAGTTTGACTGATATTGTTCGCTAGTAAAACTTTTGTTGTTCATTTGACCAGTACAACATCAAATTAGTTCAGCTTTGATAGTATTGAATACTCTTGCCGTTTAATGCCTCCACTAGTTTTTAACCAACAGACTTAAAAGATTGCAACAGCACAAATGGACACATTAGTTATTAGTAATGAAATTCAGTGATACCTAAGACTAAAACCCCTAACACAAATTTGAAACTTTTCATGCCTATTTTGATTTCAGTACGGACTATTTATCAGTGGTTTATTTCGGCAGATTCATTAATCGTAATGAAAATTACTACTTAGTTTCTGAGGGATACTTACTTTTCTATCAAAGTAATGTCAGCTAAAGGTTGGAAACAAATTTCCTGTCTTTTTACTTTAATGGTAACTATGTAGTTCTATTGTGACTGATAGATTGTTAGACAGTGGTGTTCCAATCATTCAGAAATCAGTAAAGATCATGGAGTACATCTGCTCCTCCGTTTTTCAATAGGCTAAAGTAAGAAATAATGTTCTACTAAATTGTATTTGAAAATATGTGTGGAAAGTTTAGTACAGTACTTATCGTAGTAACTTAGTAGTCACAATGTGATTTTCATGTTAATATCATGATCTTTAATCCTTTTGAGGGTATAATTTATTTTATTTTTAGTGTTGAATATTCATCGTTTGCACATACTATAAGTCTACAAGGTTATCATTCATTTATTTAGAACAACAAATGATTAAAGTTGAATGGTTTCATGAATTTACTAATGGTGTAGGGATAAATGGTTAGAGTTTGATTTTAAAAATGGCAGATTTAATTATTCAAGTCCAAGAAATGAGGAAAATTAGTGTTTAAGTTCTTTTAAATAAAATTATTCGGCTTTTATGAATGTAATTGAGTCGCGCAGATTATAGACCTCTGCTATGATCTGATTGATTAATTTAAAAATCTTCTGTGGTCTACAAATTTAGATCAGTGTTCCTCGCATCTCTGCTGCTTATTTAAAATGAATCGCTCATCAGTACAGTTGATTTATAGCTTCACAAGTTATGTAACAGTATGTTGTTAGTTACTGACACTTTTATATCGCCAATCCCAATTGATGATGGTAATGACTACAAACAAAAATCAGATTGAAATGGTTACAGAGAAGTTTGAAATTACAATAAAGTGTTTGAAATATCCAACGTATCAGTAACTTTCGAAAACAGTTTGAAACGATCTATACACTATGTAGGTGATTTTATTTATGTTTCTAGTCGTTCTAAATATGATTCCCAAATTTTTAATAACTTCGCAATCCTGCTGAAAAAGTCTTTAGCCATGGAAATCCATGTAGTTCAGCAAAGACACTTAATAGTGCAACGCCTAGGATTTTAACTAAAAGCTATGTGTAAACAATAATTTAGGTGTAAATGCACAACTTTTAATCGAATATGGTTTCAAATTAGACTTATTTAAATGTGTCGGCTGGTCAGTGAACTTCGATTTCTTAAGATTTTTTTAACATCTACAGGAACTTTTCTAGGCTAAAAAACTTTTTTTCAAATTGGTCGACGTTTACATGTTTAAAATTCGATGCGAAATAGAATAAGTCCCGGCATCATACATTCAGAATACTTCTTTATCCAAATACATCGTTTTTATAAATTGAAAGGTTGTCATCAAATTCATGACGTAATAGAATGGGTTCTACGCCACCTTTGGATGCTTACTAATATCTTTTTTGCTCTATAATATTTGGTAAACGCAAACATTACAAATCTACTTTGCTTTCTATACATTTGAGATTTTTTTATAATCAGCGACGTATTATTATAGACTGTGTCCTTTTCTTTGGTTCACTTTTTCATTTTTATCAAGTTATTGAATGAGAGGATACTTGAGAAACAGATATTGGAGAACTTCAGAAATTGGTTGAAACTATCATAATGAATAATCTATTTAATTTCAGGTTATCATAGAAAATTCATTTTTAGATATATGAGAATGTTCTCCAATTTTACCATACTTATAAACTTTGAATTACATTATTTAAACAGAACGTCTGTTTCAACATGTGTCATACGAGTAAACTAAACTTGAAAATAAAGCTGTTAATTGATTTGTAGTTAATGATGTGAAAATAATTCAATTAAGAATGCTTTATGCATTTGTTGTCCGAGGTTCAGTAGAGAAATCAATGAATATATGAAGTGGCCGTGCAAATTAGTAATTTGTCATTCACAAATTCGTGTGGGTTAGTTCTTGGCCGAAAATAATACTTGAGTATTTCGAATCAACAATTTAGACATTTCGTTATACACCATTAATTATATCTCTAGGAACTATAGAAAGTTTAACAAGTTTATAAAAACTCTCTGCAGTATTTAAGCATATGCCGGTAATCAAATTGAAGGTAAATCTAACCCTGGATTAAGTATCTAGTTCTCAATATGTATCAGGTGAAGAGGATGATAATCAAAGAGCAGGCTTGCAGATTCCTTTTAAAAGTTTAATTTTTAGAATAAAAATAGTGAATGTGAGATAGAAAAGAGGAATATTTATATCTGACGGAATAATAAAACAGAATATGAAAATTCGAATTCTATCACAAGCTAATGAGTTATAGATGACAACAACAAGGCTAGGAAAAACGTGATTGGTAAAATATTTATGTAGAGAACTGAACGATCTTTTCTAGTGAGCAAACAAACCTCATATAAATAAGATCGAGCACAAAAACGGGTTAAAGGAAATGTGGCGAAAGACATAAGAACTACACTAAGAAATAATTTAGTCATATAAAATAAGGTTTCGAGCAGAACTATTGACTAGTCAACATTTACATAACTGTATGACAAAATAGCGTTGAAAATACTGTAATCAAATTCATTAAAATTACATTAAGTGAAATACTTACCTTACTTACTTACGCCTGTTACTCCTAATGGAACGTAGGCCGCAGACCAGTATTCTCCAACCCACTCTGTCATGGGCTTTCTTTTCTAGTTCCATCCAATTCTTGTTCATTTTTCTAATGTCTATTTCCATTTGCGGCGTAATATGTTCTTTGGTCTTCCTCTTCTCTTTTGTTCTTGAGGATTCCATGTGATGACTTGTCTTGTGACGCAGTTGGGTGCTTTCCTCAATGTGTGTCCTATCCGTTTCCAGCTCTTCTTCCTGATTTCTTCCTCCACTGGTTTGTTCTCTCCCACAGTAGGTTGTTACTAATAGTGTCCGGCCAACGGATCCGAAGTATTTTACTTAGACAGCTGTTAATAAACACCCGTATTCTCTGGATGATGGCATGAATAATACCACCCGCAGTAAAAAATAATCATCGTTTACATTTAATGATAATATGGCCAACTTAATGAAACGTTTTTTGAAATTTCAGCGTAAAACAAGATTTTGTGTTTGCTGTAGATGATCATTTACTTTTTCGAAACTCTATTATTAACTGATACATTTGAATGTTTTCAAAGTATAATTATTAAAAACAGCATCTTACAACTAATCTAAGATGCGTAAAAATAACAAAATGATACAAAACATCTTACAGTCATACAAGGTTTCAGAAGAAAATCAAGCTTATTTAACCTTCTGAAATGGCAAGAAACACCCTTTCAGATTAACTTAACTCAGTAAATTTAATATATTCTACATCAGGTTATTAAAACTAGGCGGAATTTTAACAATTGTTGATTGTTGCAATCTATTTCTTATTTTACGTATAGATAAAACATTCTTATCCATTTAATTTACATTTATATAAAACCTTATTTCCTTCTTTATTTCTACACTTGTTTAAAGCTCAATGAATGTGAACTCACCAGTGTCAGCAATAAGCGATACACCATCTCTGTTAACGTCGTCATCATCTACTTTAATAAATAAACCAGTTAATACTTCGTGTTCATATACAAAAAATTGGAAACTTGGTTACCTAATTGAACCAATAATGGAAAGAGAAGAACAAAACTCACATAACTCATCTATATCCGCTGGTAATGAAGAATGTAATGCAGCTTATAAAGAAGAATGTGATGGTTTAGTCACTTCATCAACACCAGATAATGATATAGATATAAAAAAGATTAACAATACTTGTCTTAGTAAATCACTAGCTGATGAATTAGAAAATACAGATGAAGAAAACGATTCGGTTTGTGAAAATGTTCAGTTAACAAAAGAATTTCAAAACATTTTAGAAGACGTAAAATTTTATCGATTGGTTTCAAGATCAGCTACTTGGGATGGATGGATGAAATTGAAGACAAATACAAAACAAGAAGTTACGTCACAGAAAGTTATTGTACAAACAGATACCAACATTGAAAATGACAATATTACTACAATTATTACTAATACTAACGATCATCACGACAGCCCTAAAATGAAAGATAATTCACATATTGTTGTGATGACAGCATTTTGAATTGAATAACGGTAGTGTAATTGGTAATGAGTAAACTAACAGTTATTTTCTTATTAATTTTACCCATCAACTATATGTTGTTCATTATAAAAACATACTTATGAAATGGAAGATTTTCCATTTCATTGTAGGTACTCTCATGTGATTAACAGTTGTATACAAAACGAAAATATTTTCCTGGGAATTCATTAGTGTATGGTTTGATTTATATTACTTTTTATTTAAAAAACACCTAAATTTTGTTGCGCACAAGATTATGAAATTAATGATAAATTCAATGAAAGCTTGTTAATATGATTAGGATTTATTAAATACAAAGTTATGATGATCAAAATCAAGTTATAATACATATTTCATAACATTTTTATAACAGAATATGAAATGAGACTCTAGATTCAATTTAATATCTTCAATCGTGATCATTTTTTTCAAACAGAATTAATTCAGTGCTTTCTATGGAGTATAATGCTTTTCCATTTTATCTTGTTTTGATTCCGTAGACAACTAGTATTAGGTTCTGTTTTTTATCTTTCCAAATAACTTCGTTCAGTGAATAACTTTTAGATTAAGCAATTTTTAAATTCCAGATATACCAATTGTTAAAATTTGAAAAATAGATAGTTATATGGTAGTGTAACTACACTAAGAAATAGAGTAAAACTGGAAGTTATGAGTTAAAGATAAACAAAGGCATCATAGAAAGTTTTAAATTATGTATAGGGAAGAAAGGAAAATAGATGCGACATACATATCTACGTCACTGTATTTCTTTTATCTAGAGTTCAGAAGTAAAGAAATCAAATATGAACAAGTTATTTTCTATTTTTGAAGTTCAGAATTTATGACAAAAATTTCAAACCCCATGTGGATTTTAAATTAAAACACCTCCCTTAAATGTAGATTCCACTTCACTTATCATCTTAAAATGTGACGATTTTGATCAGTTGTTTCACAAGCAGAACATACCCGTTTCCTATTCAGTTAATTACATAGTACCTATTTTCTACTTCTTTGTATTATTATTATCTTGGAAAACAGATTTTGAATATTTTAAGTCAATTATATGTGAACTATCTTTTTCATCATATGATTGTCTTATATATTTTCTAATTTACGTTTAAGAAGCTTATAAGTAGTCAGAAAATCCTTTCAACCCCCAGTTTAACATGTAGTTCAATTCTGGACCATATAAACTGACTGAAACACAGTTGAAACTTGACGAGAAGGCAAATTTCACTGCTAAATCAGTATGGAGCATGTCATTGAATCTACCTCGCATTGGTTATGTTATTTCATCTGAAAATGAACTGTTTGTTGGATTTGTAAACTTTAACTAAGGGATTTCATTTCACGAAGTTCTTATTATAACACTAATAATCACACAATAGAGATTTTTATTCTTTAGGAGTTTATTCTGACTGTGATAGAAGAGTCTTCTCAAGATAATGGCAACATAAAATATCAAAAAATGATATTCTTAATAAGGCTTTTGTTATTTGTATTTTTGACCAAATATTGATTAACAAGTATCCATTCATTAGTAGTGAACGAGTATTAAGCCCGTAGGAGCATGAGGGATGTCTTTGAGATAAAAGAAAACACTGTCCAATTTCTACTCAGTCACCCGAATTTGTATTTTAAACATAAAAATTTTATCTTAATACTAAAACAATACTTACTAACCCTAACAAAACAGAGTTCAAGTTTAATTGAAAAGTGAGTATCGAACTAATATTTGGCTAGTAAAAAACATTTCATATCGAAGTAGATAGGAAAGCCACCAGAGACCTGCTGTTTGAACTTGGACTCAACGTTATTCCTGCTTCGATTTCAAGTATTGCAAATAAAATGACAGGTGGATGATAAAATATTTCATATAGAAAAACATAAGTACAGAGTTCAAGGTTTTCAAAGCTTTGGAAATCTAACTAAAGTCATAAAACTCGCTATGAACTTTTAATTTATATTTTTAACTACTTGCTAGTAACATGTCACATTGGTTAGAATTTCCAGCTCGATTTAACCATAATGGGTAAAAGTTTTTTAAACATCTTGATATTACTTTTAAAGATATGAATTTATTCTAAGTAAAAATTTAGTGAATTAATTGCCAACATTCTGTTCACTTAAATGTTTTGATGTTCCGTTTATGTATTCTAATACATCATGGTCATAAATAGCATTCACTCCAACGCAATATAAATGTATATATATATATAATATATACAAGTTTAAAGCAAATTTTATTAAATACTGAAATATACAGTAAGTAGTAATTTTTTTATGAAATAAAATCAGAGGTTTCAACATAATTCATATTGAGATATTTCATTAGATTTCAAAATCACTAGTTTTTGTGTACGTTATCTAATATTGCAGAAATGTTATCTGATTATGACAGATAAGTATTCGTCAATAAACCGATGAAATAATTTTTGAAAAAATTCAGTTAATACCAGCCATCTAATAGTTTCATTATATTTTAGTTTTATTCACACATTTGAAATAAAGTACTTCGTAAGAATATTGACAGTAAAGAAATTATTTCTAACCTTTTGTTTCTACTTATCACTTTTCAAACAGTTTAAACAATTAAAGATTGAAAAGTTGACAGTCTTTTACTAACAATAACTATGTCTTTTTATATTTTTTAAACCAAAGGAGAGAGATTCAACATTCAAAAAAGATGAGGTTCAGGTACTTACTATCTCACATATGTATGTGGTAGAACTATATTCACAAATTATTTATAGGGCTTCCCTAAGGATATAATGAGAAAAGTGTGGTCCCATTTAGCTAAAGAAAATAAAAATGCTTTTGAATGACCGTTTAAAAAAAATTAACGATCGCCACTGTCTTAAATAAATTAGTACATTACCTGAAGTATTTCTGCCTGACTCTCTGTCCTAAACGTACCGAAAATACCACACTAATTGTTTTTTTACTGATATATTTAACCGTACCAATTTGTAAATTAAATAAGGCTCTCTTCGATACCTTTATCTGGACTGAAGTGTACGTTTTCTCAGAAATGTTATGTTTTGTGGTATCTAACGATATTTTCAAATGACAATAGATTAAGATTTTAGTCTTTTACGAGACTAGATCAACGCAAGGTAGATAAATCAAATAACCAATACACTGCATTACTTCAAAGTTAATCATTTACCCACAAATAAAAGAGACAATACTATAAATTCAGGAAATCTTTGATATTTTCTACAGAAGGCGAAATGTAATACAATCGTTCTATTTATATAGCACTAACAGAAAACTTAGAGGTATGTAAAAAGATGAGGAAGTTGAGGAGGAAACAACTAATCAGATAGTTGTAAATTTAGAAGATAATTAACTAACATATTGACGAAATTATACAATAAAATTCCTGTTTCATAACCGTATAATTTGCTCCAGATATGACCATTATGTTTCAGGGATAACTCAAAATAACCAGCCACATTGATATGTTTTCGAAATGGAAAAATTCATTTTATCATTAAATAAAACCTAGGTTACATAATTTTGTGAGTGAAGCCTAAAGGTCGTGAATAAAATCAATTATATAACAATGTACTACTTGCGAGTAGAATACTTTTAATATCTATAAATTGCTAGGTCGATCGTATATTTCATTGGACAGAAAGTGTGTTATTTAGAGATCTATATGAAACTTATTTCAAACAGAAAAATAGTACTAGAAATGCTATTCAATAACTGAACTTTTTGGAAAAATTTAAATATCGAGAATTAGTCATTTCGTTATCAGTGATTAATGAAGTTCAGGATACTCTAAAAAAAATTTAGCTACATTTTGATTACCTAATTAGTAAGACCAAGAAAAACCATTGGTTCTTCAGTTTTAAGACTAATAGACTTTTAAAAAGAGATAAATGTTTAGAAGCATTACTTGAGGTTTTGAGATTTTTGTGGATGTTTATTAATTTGTCTTTTCGCATAAAATTCTGGTAGATTCCTGAAAGAATTGACAAGATACATGAAGATTTTCCAAAATCGTCTCCTTGAATTTAATGGAAACGAAAGATCACTATGATTCACATGTGTTTTCCTAAATGGTCTCTGACGGCTTACCGTTCTAAAAGTCACAATAATTTGACGCATGAGTTCAAACATTAAAATAATCCCGTCTGTTGAGAAATAACTAGATAGCCCCTTTATGACAGTTTAAGTCGTATATTTTAACATGAATTCACTTTCTAATGACCTAAAATACCCTAATATGTACAGATTCCATGAAATCAGGCTAAATCGTTGTCATGGTTCTCTATTTTTGTTCAGTTCGTCTGATTTATTGTTGTAACAGTTAGTCGTGGATGAACATTCACTGACTGATAGTTAATCTCAAACTCATTTTTGTACAATTCACTTGGTATTGTTTTACTTGAATCTTCCCATTGTAAATTAAGGCAATATCTAGGCATACGCCCAGTATGCACATATGCCAATAAGAGACTAATCAATTTCAGTCCTAAAACATCAACAGGAAGATTCAAGTAAAACAATACCAAATGAATTCAAATTCACCCATTGCACAAGCAAGTGGCTAACAGGACTCAGTAGCTAAGTGGATAACGCGATGGCGTTTGAAGCGAACGGTACAGAGTTCGAGTCCCAGGGTGAACATCAACTCATGCAGGTACATCCAGCTGACTGAGTCCCAAACAGAACGAAACAAGCGTCCTGAATTCCACTGCTAGCCGCTATCCATCTTTGCTTATCATCTTTGTACAGTTTGTTTTTCCGTTTTGAAATATATACAGAAAATGTGTTCTTCAAAACACTGAATTTGAAAAGTTATTCCTACTTTTGGCTATTCTATTCTGAAAAATATTGATCAGAAAGGTAATAAAGAATATTTATGAAGGAATACATTATCAAAACGAACTTTTAATTTAAGAAATTCTTCATTAGGTAAACCAATATATAGTGAAGTCGTAGTCATGAAACATTTTGATAAAGAAGTAATTATCAAGGTTATTCAGACTTGATGACTTACTTATTCTACTTTGATAGTCGTCAACAAGCTATTTGAAAAACATATATCCAAGATGTCTTATCGAAATGGCTACCTGTTCAATTGGATAAATAATCTATCATTTATTTACTGTGTCACAAATATATGCAAAGTATTAGCCATGAGAATGAGTATTTGAAAGTTTAATAAACACTTATAAGAGGGAAATATGAAATTTAATCAAAAACCTTTCGT